GAAGTGTAAATAGGGGAGCATAATTAGAAAATCCCCTACCACAATTTTTACACTGTGGGTCTCACCACAACAATTCCAGCAACATCGGGGGGTTTCCTGAGAAAACCACCAGGGATCAAACATCTCATGTACATGAATAGAGAAAGTAAAGAGTACAAATTAACAATTAAGCTGTTCATGGTAAATATGCTTACTGCATATATGACTTCTTTCAATAAACTATATTATAATATACATGCAGATGTCATCTTCTGCATGAGGATCATTTTTAGTTTGCAACAGCAATTTTCCAAAACATTCCACAAAATTAATGTATATTGTACAATTAAATTATAATTAATATCTTTGTATTTCAGTAAAACAGTATATCTTTAACCATAATATTCTCAATTCAATTAACTATTAATACTTAATAGCTACAATATCTTCTTGGGTAAAAAATCCATTTCTACATATTCAATTTGTTTTCATAACAAAAATGAAAATAGTTTTAACATTCTGGATGAAAATGTTTAGAAAAATATTTTATCTCTTTACACCATGAAGTACAACTATATGTTGTAAAGTATGCTTTTATGGTTGGTGACAAAACTGCAGATGTTACATATGGGCTAAATGTTACAATGCTGGTATGCCAAAATTGTGTCTAGGTCTATAGAATTTGCTCTTTTGACCATTTTTCTGTTCGTATGAAGAAATTGCAAAAACTTTAACTTTAACATTTGAAACTATCAACTACTTTATAGTTTTCAGATGTCACATACCTCACTTCTAATTCACAGTCTTACAGAATATAGTTTACAGATTTACCATACATGTACAATGTAGGCACACAAGTTACACAAGTCACAAAAAATGAACAAGTCATATTTTTAAAGTGAGCTGATTACCTTGCAAAGTTGTTAATAATACATTAAAACTATATTTATCCACTAGAAAGTTTTCCAAAATTATTTTGAAAAATTTGCAACTTTTGATTCTTTACAAATTATGCACAATATTTTAATACATAATTCACATGTTCAGTGGGATGTGTTATAAAAACTTTATTGATGTTAGTCAATTCCAGCTGTTGACTATAAAGCTACATATTCAAATATGTTCAAGAATATTAATGACTAATTAAAGAATAACCCTCTATGCTACTGAAATGCAAGGATACTAATGCACAGGGTAACCCTCAAATGTTTATTTCAAACAAATAATTTAAGTTACACAATCACTGAATGCTTTGATTGTATTTCCTGACTTTTACATATGTTGTTTCCATTACTCATTAGATCATCATATCATGAATAGTGCCTACCGTGATTAAGTTAGAAAATTAGAAACTCCCCTACTACCACTTTCACATGTGTAGTTCTGACAGTGCTATACTTCCTAACTTTACACATGGATTCTTTCAGAACAGGATAAGATACTTAGTCCACACACACACATAAATTGTCTTATGTACAATTGGGCAGCATTTCTATCATTTGAAACTTGAGTACTTTCCAGTTTGCTAAATATCTCAGAACAAGGGCTAGTATAGTTTTCAACTTATATATTTTATATAAAAAAACATTTCTAAATCATATGTAAAAACAATTTTTTTCTTAAATGTTTGTTTATTCATCAAAAATTTTCTTATATACAGTCATAGTGTAATACTTTCGATTGCTATGTTATAAATGCCTGGATACTTACACGCACACACCACATGTAAAACATTGCTATCAGTCAATTACAGCATAAATTGTACCACTCAAATATATCAAACTGTCATACAGACAAATCAATGCAGTACAAATTATACCTCACCAATACATAAGAATTTGTCACATGCAGTCAGGTTTCATAAGTATGTTTACCTTACATTTTGTACACACATTGAGACACATGAATATTGAACACAAACTTTGATTTACTCATTCATTATTCATGAAATACTATTATATGGTATAAGAGGAGTAACTGATAGAACTATATTTTGTGCTTCTTAGGTTTTTTCTATATATGGAATCTTAATTATCTACATAAACACACATCTTTGAGTAATAAAAAACAAGAAGAATGTAACATGAAATCAATTGAAAAGGGAATCCAATCCCTGTATTAAAAATTGTTTATTCTAAACAATGTTTTGAAGTGTTACCAAAAATGAAGTTTATTTAATGAACATGTATAATTACCACATTTCATAAGATATAATACTAATACTTCAAAGACAGATAAAAACTGGTATATAAATAACATTAAGTTCAGGAACAACAGTTCTTGATAAAGTCTAAAAAATTAAATATAGTTTGGTCACTAAAAGATTATGTTTAGTAAATTTAAGAGTTACATCTTCAGATAACCACCTGTATTACTGGTTCTATAAACTAGACCTTCCATGTGGCAAAGTAACTGCCTATTCCAACAACTTCTGACCATTGCACAAGTGAGCAGAAGCTGTAGGTGTTTAGATATGAGATTAATACTTCATAACAGTTTTACTACATGTACTTTCAATTATTCAAGGTTTATGTTCTGCAAAATTACTTCTACCATTAAGTTTTAACAATCAAATCAGAATGAATATCTTCAATAAAAGGCAAAGAATAATATACCAACATGAATGATTTGGCCAGAAATATAACAGCCTGGGAAGCTAGAACTATGTAGCCAAGTTTAAGAATACATTCTTGAATTAGTGATATACAGAAGAGAAACCATAACAGTATCAATACTATATTAATTTAGTTTTTTGCAAGACAACTCCACAAAAGTAAAGATACAGCACAAAGAAATAAGAATGCCTTACTGGTTACTTCTTACCTTCATTCTCACTTAAAGTAAACAAGGTAAAGTTAAGATATATACCTATTCCTGATTACTTATGAGATAATCCTACTATCCATGGAATCATCCAAGTACACCTCCTCTAACTCTTTCGAACATGTATTACATACACATACTATACACAAGTTCTGAACTGTGCAATGTCTCAAGATGTCAAAACTCCACTTTAAATATCTATAATTACAAGAAGAAACCCTAAACCAACTAAAAGAGAGGATTAGTAGTCTTGTTTTGAGCTTACTTACTGATTGTATTATTTTATTACAAGTTACAGCTTTTACTGTGAGGAAGATTATTTTTTTGAACAAGTATTATTTTTCAATCACTGATGCAATCATTTTTGCACTTGTATACTTGAGAATAAACATACCAGTTATCAAAGCATTGTATAATCTTCCTTACTATAAAGGCTATAAATTTTAGTAAAATAAAGGGTGAGAATAGTGATATGAAGCATTATGTTAACGGTGTTTTTGTAATAAACAGTTTTAGTTTCCCTTTTAGACTGGCAAGTGAAGATATATGACAAGAGTAATACATGAATGCATACATCTGAACACTAAATAGTGTCAAAATTGCAAATAAGCTAAAACAACAACTTCTAATTGGATGTTCAAAACAAATAAAAGGCAACAGTTAAGATGGTGGAGGTGAATTAAACAAGCCCTTTTTTATGTTGGTAGTGTCTAGTTGCATCTACAATAAATATTTTCTTTTTAAGTGTTCTTTAGATGATAATAGTTCTTGAAGCTGAAAGCTCTGTATGTTTTGAATCATGTAATGGAATATTACAGGTCAATAAACCCATTTGCTTTTTTGTTCAACAGCAATCAAAGAGCTAGGAGTTCTGTATTCTTTCATTTTTCAGGTATTATAAGCAATGTCTCAGGTTTCCATTAAAACTGTTGGCAAAATACACAATTAAATCTTTAGGTTTTTCATGTTTGATGAAAATAAAGTTCTGAGACATGTGATAAACCTTTTATTTAAAGCCTTTACAAAGAAGTTCAGTAGTACAATTGCATGCTGTTTATAAAAGAAAATTTTCTGCACCACACATGCACATTTTCCGTCATGAAACAAGTTAGCTTAATGAAGTACTTTGGAAATAAAACCTTAAAAGTTCTAAATGGTGGGTGAAATATGCCACAATTAGTATTAATTTTCTGATATTTGTGATAATTGGATCAACTTCACCCAAATAAAATGTAATCAATCATATATATAACAGACAATCTGCATGTACTTATACTTTCTTTTTGGGCAGTAGTATTTCTAAATTTGTTGATACTAATATACTACAAAATGTCAATTCTGCTGAGAAAACTTCTCTTATCCAAAAACAATCTTGACAGTTTAAGTGAATGGAGCATTGTATAAAAGAGGAATTTAATGTTTATAAATAAAGTTTTGGTTCCCTTAACACAGAATAGATATATACATGAAATATAATTTTTTTTAAAAATAAATACAAGTTTTGGAAGCCCAGATGCAGACTTATTCACTGGCAATTTTTTTTTTTTAGTTATGAAGATGTGGAATGGCTGTCAGTTGATGTATTTTCACTAATAATCTGAAATTGTATTGAATAGTTGTATGGATGTAAAGAACAACATTTAAGGTGTTTTAAAAATTAAACAGAAGTAAAAGATTTTTTTTTATTCATTTTTTCTTCATCTACACTGAATAGTACCAATAACCTTTTATCACCTTCCTTTCTAATGTACATGCACTTATAAAACAGTGACAACCTTACAGAAAAAAAAGATGTTCCCATATTAAAATTATCCAAAAAATCCTTCCAAGATTATCTCAGTTTGTAAATATCTTCACTGCATGTTACTGTTTTAAAAACTGAACTTCTGAATATAAAAACAACACAATGTCAGCCACATCAAGCATTTATTTTTTTATCTTAGCAACATTGAAGGACTAAAGGTATACAATACTTGTACTACAATGATTATCATATAAATAATTCTAAGCATCTTACAATAAACTATACTACCTATAATTATATAAAATATACAAAGAATTCAACTACTTAAATGGGGATTTAGTTCGTCACCTAGCCAATTTCAATGTATTTATTACAATGTAAATATTTATTTTATTTCCAAAGTATAACAAGGAGTCAGTTGACTCATTATGGCTACTGAATCCCATTTTCTACCATCCTACTCATAACTACACAAAGAAAAAAAAACTGTATCCAACAATGATAGTTATAAATCTCTTTTTTAAACTACTTCCATACTACAGCTTCTACCACACATGAAGGCAAGTCATTCCACAGACCAACTACCCAATTAGAAAAGTAGCATTTCCCCCAACTGGAGTCATGTCAGAATTTTCCATATGTTAGACTTTTTTTTTTCTAGTCTTACATGTACAAATCTAAGTTTATGCTCATTAAGTAAACACAAGTTAGTATTACAATAATTTGGTTATTTCTTTCAAGGTATTCAGTCACATTAGAAGACGGAAATATAGGGAAGGGCAAGATTATACAAGACTATTATTATTAAGGTTATTCCTTTTCTCTCACACATGCAGACATTAAAATGCTCTATTTTTAATTCAACTTAAACATGTAACACATTTATAAACTGAAGATGTTAAACAACTGCTTAGAAGAAATTGTTTACTGTTTTCATTCTTAAATGTAACAATCCACACCAAAACTAAATACCCCATCCATTACATGATGAAGATAACCATTACTTTGGTTATAGCTTATTTACACTATTTCACATGTTAAGAAAATTATCAAACAGCTATATGCACAAATTCGGTTACAATGCATCTTTACAATAGATCCTAAGTTACACAGGATCTTCAATTTTAAAGGCAAACAACATCCACTAAATACCTTGTTAACAGTATAAGAGTTCATGTGCCCAAGGTGCAACTAAAAATACATTGGATCAAATATAAGGCTCTGCATTTTGATAAAAGAGCACTTCAATGCTAAAACATCAATAGTAATATAGTAATACCCACAATATATACAAATGTTACTTTGGTCTACCTCTAACTATTTCCGCATCATTCTCCATTCTTAGGAATATTAGAATATCTTGCAATTAAGATAAGAAAGCCAGCCCTTAACTGGAAGACAAGTGCACCATCAATACTATTTTTTTTTTTTTTATTGTGAAAACTTACAGAAAATAACAGAACATGAAGTTCCATCTATGAATACGAACCATTTCACAAGTTTATAATCCTAATAAGACAACATTCTGTCAATGAAATGATTTGAATATAGAGAGTGACACATGTAGATTTAAGCTTTGAAAGCCTAGACACAGATTTGCATCTAGGCTTCCAGAGCTTAAATCTATTACCTCTTATTTTCAAATTTTAAAGCTTTTCATTCCAGTACTCAGGACCTATAGGAAGGCTTTCCAAGCCCCCTAAAAACTTAACAAAATAACAATGTTACAGCTGTAATAAAAAGTTGTTAGTATTCACAATAAAAAGAAAACAAAAGTATTGTGGAAACACCCAAAATACAGTAAAAGAACACTTTCAAAATGCAGAAAATGTAAAGAACCATAAAAAAATGGTAAATCTTATTAGCAATACACTTTTTGGTAAAGTCCCAAAATAACACTACAAATTCATTTTGATACTTTTTTTTTCAGAGAAATTTCATTTTAAAACGTTATACATTATATCAACATTAGTGCAAAATAAAGAAAGTTTCACAAGAATATTTTTAACAGCTTTTTAAAAATATGTTATTAAACTTCATTTTGTTTGAATAACGGTTATTTAAAATGGGCTTTTTTTTTTTTTTTTTTCACAAGATGACCCTGAGGAAAATAAAAGACTATATAACTATTTTGAACAAGTCCTATCTAAAGCTCCTGATCATCAGGTCACACTGTATATATCAGTTTACGCATATTATAATGTTTCAAAACACTACTTCTATAAACAGTCCATAACAGAATCCCACAAATTTTGAAATCAAATCTTAAGTTTCTCAGAAAAATGAAATACAAAACAATAATTCTCACCTTTATGCTGCAACTTGATTCCAAATGAGCTGAATTCAGTAGTATAAATAACTGCTGCTGATGCATTTCTTTCCATAGCATTTTGTAGCTTAATTGTCTCTCTACAATTTCCATGTGCAATCAAAGCAATCCATGGTTCACGAGATGTGATATCAGAATCAAATGGATTACAACCATCATGGGTAGTATGGTTATTACTTGAAACATGTACTACAACTCCATCTGCTGAACCAATTTTACCATTAAATTTTCCCATTTCACTCTTTTCTGAATGAACCCTTCCAGTCAAAGGATGAGTGTATGTAATATTAATCAATGCAAGTGTATACTCTTGAACTCCATAGCCATAAGTGAACTCACAGTTAACAAAAGATCCAAAACAGTCAATGAGCACCAGTATCAAAATAAATTTAAACAACCATGACCAACAGCTTAGCCAACTCACCTTACAGTTCAAGTAATATGGCACACTTTGAACCAACATTGTAAAAAGTACACAAAGTATGTATATGTATATATTTATCAGAAGAGAATAACACCTGGTAACTTTGACAAAAAAGAAAA